GGGAAGAGCTATCGCGAGGGAGAGCTCTGACATCCAGGTCCGGTTGAGCCAGAGGGGCGCAACCAGCAACCTGTTCTTCGTCCTCCCTGACCTTGCACAGTAACTGCGCGAGCAGGCTCACTGGGGGAAACGCGTATTTGCGCATGCCCCGAGGCCAGCTGTAAGCCAGTGCATGCGTGCTGAGAGCACTCGGTCAGGGAAAGAACAACTGGCAATGAGCGATCTCGGGGGAAGCAACAGATCGATCTGGGCTTCCCCGAATCGCACCCATATCAGCTGAATAGACTCGGGGTGGAGTCTCCATTCTCCAGGACGTAAGGCTGCCGTGAGAGCGCATCGGCTGCACGGTTGAGCCTGCCTGAATATGAATGGTTTGCAGCGATTTCAGCCGCGGATGACTCCAGAGGAGCAGACGGCGGGCGAGCTGAGACATGCGGCGAGAGCGCATACCCCCATATAGCTGATATACGCCACCGCCGCCGTACTGTCCGTCCTGACCAGCACGTGTTGCCGCTCCAGCACCGGAAAAAACGGTGGAGAGCGAGGAACACTGCCAACAGCTCCAGGCGATATGCCAATGCAACTGGGTACCTTTCCACAGGTCCGCAGCTGCATGCCCGCAACGCACAGCCCCCCAGCCCGTGTTGGAAGCGTCTGCTGAAACGACAACAAGACTGGACGCCTGTTCTAGAGACACCCAGGCCTGTAGGAACGAGGGGTCGCTCCAAGGGCTGAGGGCGCGGCGACACAGCACAGTAACAGAGACTCGGTGTGCGCGTGCGTGCCATGCGCGTCTGGGGACTCGATCGTGAAGCCAGTGCTGAAGTGGTCTCATATAAAATAATCCGAGCAGCAGAAGCGGCTGCGGATGCCATATGCCCCAGGAGCCTCTGAAATAGTTTCAGTGGGACCACTATTTTACTGTCGAGCTCTCTCAGACAGTACAGCGTCAGCTGAGCGCGCTCTCCGGAGAGGCGCGCTGCCATGGTGACCGAGTCCAGCTCCAGCCCGAGAGAAGTGATCCTCTGCACGGGGGCGAGTTTGCTCTTTTCTCGGTTGACCTGAAACCCCCACAGGTGGAAGTGCCAGAGCACTGTCTCTGTGCATAATCAATTGCTCCGAGAGAGGGCAAAAATCAGCCAGTCGTAAAGAAATCGAGTATGCAGATGCCCGGGAGCCGAAGAGGTGCTAAGGCACCCTCCGCGGGCTTGGTGAGGACCCGCGGAGACAGAGAGAGCCCGAAGGGGAGGGCTTTGTATTGCCAAGCTTGACCTTCAAACGCAAACCGCAGAAACAGACGGTGGCGAGGAAGAGTGGAGACATGGAAATACGCGTCCATCAGGTCTAATGCTGCAGACCAACCCAGAGGACGAACGCACCGGAGGATGCGCTTCTGCATGAGCATTCTGAACGGTGACCGAGTCCAGCTCCAGCCTGAGAGAAGAGATCCTCTGCACGGGGGCGAGTTTGCTCTTTTCTCGGTTGACCTGAAACCCCCACAGGTGGAAGTGCCAGAGCACTTTGTCTCTGTGCATAATCCATTGCTCCGAGAGAGGGCAAAAATCAGCCAGTCGTAAAGAAATCGAGTATGCAGATGCCCGCGAGCCGAAGGGGCGCTAAGGCACCCTCCGCGGGCTTGGTGAGGACCCGCGGAGACAGAGAGAGCCTGAAGGGGAGGGCTTTGTATTGCCAAGCTCGACCTTCAAATGCAAACCGCAGAAACTGACGGTGGCGAGGAAGAGTGGAGACATGGAAATACGCGTCCATCAGGTCTAATGCTGCAGACCAACCCAGAGGACGAACGCACCGGAGGATGCGCTTCTGCATAAGCATTCTGAACGGTGACTGAGTCCAGCTCCAGCCCGAGAGAAGAGATCCTCTGCACGGGGGCGAGTTTGCTCTTTTCTCAGTTGACCTAAAACCACCACAGGTGGAAGTGCCAGAGCACTTTGTCTCTGTGCATAATCAATTGCTCCGAGAGAGGGCAAAAATCAGCCTCACTGGAGGATGCGCTTCTGCATGAGCATTCTGAACGGCAGCTTGTGCAGGCAGCGGTTCAAAACGCGCAGATCTAGGATTGGCCGTGACCCACCGCTCTTTTTGGGCACGATGAAGTGTGGGCTGTAAAACCCGCTCTCCATCTCGGTTGGAGGGAGCGGCCCGATTGCATCCTTCGCCAGGAGGACAGCAATCTCCTCTCGCAAGACAGGGACAGGGGGCTGACCCTGGTGAATACACACCCGCGACTTGGGGGGCCGTTTCGCGAACTGAATCGCATAGCCGAGTCTGATTGTGCGTATGAGCCACCGCGAAGAGCTGGCCTGCGCTAACCAGGCAGGCAGAGCTCTCGCTAATGGACTCATCGCTACAATCGCTGACGTACCAGCAGTGGGGCAGCGCAGAGTGGGTGTGCTGATCCGGGAAGCGCGCGGGTCCCACAGAAAAGCTGGAGGTGAGATATTTGCTCTCACTCCGCACCCGAGCTCCGGAGGGGAGGCTCGAGGGGTGGGAGAAAGGAGACCGTCCTCCCAGCGCTCGTGAGCCACTGGCGAATCTGCAAGCTAGAAAGGCTGTCACATCCGGGGAAGTGGAAAAGTGCCCTTTCATAATGTTTTCATGGCAGTAAAAAGTGCCGTTGGAAATGGGGCCCCGCCCTCCAGCGGGGAAAGAGCAAGTTCGCTCTTCTCCAGATGGCCTGTCCCAGGGACGCTTCGCGGTCCGTTGCCAGACTTAGCGGCGTTCTGGGCAGGGGGGCTGCCTGCTTCCGAGGTGCCCGACGCGCTCGCTTCGCCAGAGGCGTGTGCGGGGGCGGAGCAGCTCTTGTAGGCGGGCGCCTTCGGCGAGGAGCAGGTATGAATGGCACGGCGGGCGGAGCGGGCTACAGACCGCCGATAAGACATCACCCATCAACTGCTCTCTCACCGCCTTGAATTCCTGGGTGAATTCACAGATGGTGTCGCCGAACATGGTTTGGGATATGGGGAAAGTCAAGAAAGCGGACTTTGTCGACTTCACGCATATCAGCCATGGGTGGCGCTCCTGGATGACTAATGTGGACATCGTCCTCCCCAACGCACACGCAGCGGACTCAGTAGTCCGAAGAGCTAAGTCGGCGGCGGTGCGAAGCTCGTAAGCCTGGGTTGGACCCACCCTCGTGCAGCTCGGCCAGCGCCTGCGCTAGGTAGCGCTGGTAGGTGGCTATCGCATGCAAGGCAGAAGCAGCCTGGCCCGCAGCTATGTAAGCTGTAGCTCCGAGGGAGGTAGATAACTTACAGGCTTTGGATGGGAGACGAGGCGGACCCCGCCAAGAAGAGGCGCCGCGCGGATTTACCACCATCGCGCACTCAACCTGAGGAATCGCCACATACCCTCTGGCTGTTCCACCGTCAAGAGTGGTGAGGGTGGAGAGACACGCAGCACGAGCAGAAAAAAGTGCTTTTCAAGACCGCGTGAGCCTACTGTGCACCTCCGGGAAGAAGGGAACGCCCCTCTAGTCGGTCCGGCCACGGAGCTGGGGGATAAACCATCTCCAACCCACGGCCGAAGCAGCCCGGGAAAGCACGGCTAACATGTCCGTTTCAGGATCTGTAGTGACAGCGCTCACCAGCCCGAAGGGGGCGAGCGGGTCTGGATCATCATCGGACAATGAAAGCCCATCCTCCGATGCCGCGGTGGACGTCTAGTCTCCGGTGTCATCGGGCGTAAGGGCTACCATCTATTAGACGGATCGCTTCCCCTGCCCGAAGCTTGGATGGAGCGCTTAGAGGAGCAGGAGGTCCTGAAAAGGACGTGCTGCACGACTGTGTTGCTCTTTCTGTGAAGTTTGCAACTTTATACGCACCGCTCTGGAGGACCGGACCCAAAGAACGCCAGGCAAGGGAGAAACCCAGCTCGACCGTCTGCCGCTGCGTGTACACACTCTGGACCGGGAGAATGCTCTCGTTCGCTCAGAATCGCTGGTCACAGCAGGAGGAACCCTCATCCACTCGATCAGAAAGTCTCTGAAGCGAAAAGGATGGCGTCTGCTCGCTCCAGGTGTGTGTGCTTATATGCTGGGATAATTGGCAATGAAGTACACCTGTGCAAGCTTACGCTGCCAATTCATTGCATTCATTGGCCCGTTCAATACTCTTTCAGACAAGCGGCTTCTGAACCGAATCCTCCCATTCGTGGATTTCATCCACTCTATGGCACTGAAGTTCCCCAACCGAAGGGGAACTACTGATGTAAGGTAGATTTTTTTTCTTTGCACATATGAATTTTTTTGGTTGTTACCAACATCTGAGGAAAAGTCATCAGCACCATTATAAATGTTTTCTGAAAAAATGGTGATGTGTTCAATACTCATTTTCTCCACCATAATAATGTTAAATGTTCATAATCTGTTTTTTATGTAATCGCCATTGTGTGATTTGCTGTAGACTAAATCAAATTGACAGACACACAATACAAATATAAAAAAGTGTAAAATTTAGTTGAAATAATTTTATTTTTGCAATATCTTTAATATTTTAATTTAAATGTATTATCTGTCAATTCCAAAAGATGTTTTGTTAAAATGCACCAAAATATATTATATTAATTTAGAAATGGGGTAAAATATTAATTTTCAAAAAGGGGTGTGCTCATTTATGCTTTGCACTGTGTGTGTGTGTGTGTGTGTGTGTGTGTGTGTGTGTGTGTGTGTGTGTGTGTGTGTGTGTGTGTGTGTGTGTATATATATACACACACACACACACACACACACACACACACACTCACAGGCCACTTTATTAGGTACACTTTATCAGTAACAGGTTGAACCCATTTTACCTTCTGAAATGCCTTGATCTTTTCTGGCACAGATTCAACAAGGAACTCAAAACTTTACTCAGAGATTTTGGTCCATTAAAATACAAAATTGTAAACATAATGCAAGGGTAAAAGGAAGTCACGATTATGAATAATGGATTACATCAAAAATAAAACAGACATTGTTTTTTCATCTTGAAAATGTTTAAATTTTATTTAAGGTATAGAAAGACAGAAGTAATAAACATTTTGTTTTCTGAATAAATGACCCTGGACCACACAACCAGTTAAGTTGGCTCTGTATTTTTGTAAGTATGGCCAACATTGTATGCATCAAAATGATACATTTTTCTTTTTTGCCAAAAAATCATTGCAATATTAAGTTATATCATGTTCAGTAAAGACATTTTGTAAATTTTCTTTTGCATGTTTATCAAACCTTAATTTTGGTCACTAATATGCATTGCTAGTAACATCATTTGTACAACTTTTTCAGGTGGTTTTCTTTAACCCTCAAATTGCAGATTTTCAAAAAGTGAAAGTTGATACAATATATACTTTAGTTTGAAAAATGGGATTGGTTTTGTGTTCCAAGGTCACATACAATTTTAAAACTGATGGTTTTATATGTTTATTTCATTTTTACAGCCATTCATCACACACTTACATAAAGCAATAAACAATCTTTAAAACACATAGGAAATTGTTCAGATTCTGCGATCTTCTCAGATCAACAGCATTGAAAACTCAATAAATCAGATTTTACAAAAAGCTAAAAAGTCACGTGCAAAGGTTTTCATTCTAAGAACTAACTATTTTTCATCAAGATACAAGACCAAAGTTTGGTTGATAAGATTGCAACAATTGCTAACAGAAAAAAAGTAATACAGTTGCTGCAAAACAAACCATAACCATAACTCTTAAATGAGAACTTGTCAACAAAAACTTCTTAACGAACTATTATAAAGCAGACATTTATAAACATTATAATGCCACATCACTTTAAATGGGAATAGTTTGTGGCTATAAAACATTCAGACATTCATTCAGTATTTAATAATAAAAGCAGAATAAAACAACAAACAAATTGCAAATTGATAAAACGTAGATGATTTTAGCTTATTTCTTTGTGGTTTTTACACCCTTGTCTCAGAACATTTAAAATACTTATATAATGGTCTTATATATATAACTTATAAACTACCTATATAATGGTCGGCTGGTTATTGTTTTGAATGTTTTGCTGTCAAACAGTTTGTGGTTAGAAGTTTCAGAACTGAATGTACTTTTAAAAAAGTGACTAAAATAAGTACGAGATCAGTCCTACCTTGGCGTTCATGATTTCGCCAGGTGTAGAGCAGCGTAGGTGGTGTTGTTTTGGCTGGAGCGCATTTTTTTATGAAACTTTGAAAAGTCCATAGAGGCATACAGAAAGAATGATTTTAAAGTGTTTAAGCTAAAAATAAAACATCCTTAAATAAAACAGATGTTAAAGGCTCCAATAACAATTATCAAGAAGGAAATATCATTATCAAGCCAGAAAAGAGTTTTTAATATTTTGATGTTTCCACATAATTAACCTGTAGCTGCTCTGGATCCTGATGCTGTTCGGTAACTTGTGTCTGTTGAATTTGTTCTGATTGTTCTGTGAATCTTCTATTCCCAATAACAAAAACCTTTACTAGTCCTAAATATGGAACAGAGATTTCAAATTATGATTAGTTTTTTTTTTTCAAAACAATTTCTTTAGCTAAAGAATCCAAAGCTCACCGATCAGCAGAATGAGCAGAAGGCCGTTCATCACAGCAGATATGATGATGATGATAGTCTGATGATGTGTTTGATTGTGCTCAATACACTCCATCACTGTCCGATTCTGACACACAGTTTGTTGATCTGCTTCTGTAAGGAAAGTAGTCACATTGTCATAGCCTGTCAACAAAAAATACTTTTAAAAATATGAAAAAATAATAACTGACAAATGTAAACAGTGATCATCAGTATTTTCAGATCAACAGTAATAAGTAAATGAGCTCACCGGTGATGTAGATTCTGCTGCTGTTGCTGAATTGTGGAGGTGTGCGTGTGCTCATACAGTGATAAACTCCTAATTCATTAGCAGTGATGTTATTAATAACCAGACGATGTTTAAACTGCACTGAATATTTACTTCTGAATGACTTATTAAAGTAAGATGCTGCTAGTGTTGAAAATGATCGTAGAATCACTGTTGGAGGATCTGAAGTTTTCTGTATAATCCAGTAAACATCATTTTCATCAAGATCACAGTTTAGGGTCACATTTGATCCCAGATCAGTTAATAGATCTGACACTGCAGCTTGAAAACAGATGAATGTGTCTGCAAGACATAAAAAAGCACCACAACTAAGGTTAGCCATATTAAAAAGTTTGAAGCATAAAACTATTTTTTATTGTTTTTAATATACAAAGTGCAAATAAATATATTCATTACATAATAAACTCACAGAGTTGAAGATGAATAATCTTCATGCTGCTGGCTTGATTTAAACAGTTTAGTCTAATCAAACCCGTGTCTCCTCTCTTAACATGCAAGGCTAAGTCACTTCAGCTCTGAAGCATGCAAGAAAAAACTTCTGCCACATCAGTCAGAGGAAGTCAAGTTTTCTGTGACCTCACACGTCTACAGTATATCATCATTCAGAATTTTTTTTTAATTTTTTATTTTATTGGACGCAAAATATATCCAATCTGCTAGATCTGGATTAGGCAATACCAGTAAACAATTTTTAATGTCATATATTTTTGTATATATATTTATAATTATTATAATTATGCAAGGAAACTTAGTGCTCTGAGAATTAAGTGCTAGTTTAAGGAGGGGGGAGTTTTTTTTAAGAAAGAGAAAGAAAGTAAGAGTGTGTTTTACAGGTAGTTTGTTAAGCCGACTCGCCTGTGTAAAGCACACTTAATACATTAACATAAATGCACAAGTTTTTTTTTTTTTTTTTTTTTTTTTGAATGTACAATCATTGTCTGGTGCAAATGTGCAAAAAAAACTGTGGCAAATGTTGGGCACCAGGGTGGAATGAAAATGTTTTAGAAAGTGACTTACAGTACAGCCTTTCTGCGATGGCACCACAGGGCGATGCTCACTCTCCTACCGGAGACTCTTGGAGGGGATGTTGACCTTCAGGAGCAGGTGGAGGTAAGTGGATGCAGTGTGAGAGGCGGTTCTGTAAGCAAGCATCAATGATTTGAACTTAATAAGGGCCTCAACCAGTAACCAATGCAGAAAGATAACAACAGGGGCTCTCTTGGGCTCATTGAAGACCAGGAAAGCTGCACCAAATAATGTCTTTTTTCACAAAAAAGCACATACACCTTCGAAAATAGAAGTGGTTATAAAAATTTGGGTCTGGCTGAAGTGTGTGGATTTCAGGGGGGTTACAGTGTGGTTACATTTTGATGAAGCTCTTGCTTTGGTCAGTTTGAATGTCTCAGTATTCAGGCTTTGGACATATGATCAAGGAAAAGACAAAACATTTGCTCTGTCTCTTTCCTGCTTTGGCTCTTCTTCTCTCTGGCTTCTTGGGAGTGTCACTTCTCTGGCTCTTTTGCTATCTGGCTTTCACCCTTCCCCTGTCTCACTTTTCTTCCATCTCAGGTAACTTTTTTACATTTAAGCTGGGTACAATTAATACTGTATGTTTTTATCATTTTATGTTTTATCATTTCTAACAGATACTTTATAACTAACTTAGTTGTAACCATAGACAACCATTTAATCATTTAAATTTCAGTGTTCTGTGAATTATGTTTGATTTGGCTTTAACACTTAATTGTTCCATATTGCAAAACAATATAATCAACCCTCGGCTGGGTCAGTTGGCGTTTCTGTGTGGAGTTTGCATGTTCTTCCTGTGTTGGCGTGGGTTTCCTCCGGGTGCTCCGGTTTCACTCACAAGTCCAAAGACATGCGGTAAAGGTGAATTGGGTAAGCTAAATTGTCCTTAGTTTATGAGTGTGAATGAGAACGTATGGATGTTTTCCCAGTGATGGGTTGCTGGAAGGGTATCTGCTGTGTAAAACATATGTTGGCTAAGTTGGCGGTTCATTTCGCTATGGTAATTAATAAAGATTAATAAAGGGACTAAGACGAAAATAAAATGAATGAATGAACTAAGCATCCACTTGCTGCCCCATTGTTGGTGCATCAGTGTCAATCCCTCTTGTTTACAAGATGGGCCCCCAAGTTTTGGTCCATGCATTTACGATTATGGTTTGCATCAAAAGATTGCTGTCCACTAAGTTAAGGATGTAATCAAGCCAGCCCCACCAGCCGAGGTAAAGAGTGGGTTTTACAGCCTATACTTAATCATACACAATAAGAGCAGAAAGTTACAACCCATCTTGGATTTGTACATTTTGAATCAATCCCTTTACAGGATGTCATTCAATATTTTCACACAGAAGTGCCATCTTCACATCCTTCCTTAGAATCAGTTTAAAACATTCTTGACTCTTCCATGATACAGACGTTATTTTTTCTGTTTCTTCATATTGCATTTGCTCTTAATTCCCCCTCAGTCCAAAGACATATATAGGTGCATTGGATAAAGTAAATTGCATGTTGTGTGTGAGTGTGGGTTTAAATGGGAAAGTGGGTGTTTCCCAGTAGTAGGGGGTGCACAAGTTGGTAAATTCTCAGAGCTGGGTTGCAGCAGAAAGGACATCCACCAACTCTTATGTATTCAAATCACAAAACAGCTTACAGTGTACATATAATGCACTTATTTTTGCAGACACTTGAGGGAAGCAGAGGACAAGTGATATTTTTGTAATGTAATGCTGTCAATGCATCAGGCTACAAATGCCAGTCAATAAATGATCATTTTAATATTCACTTACTCACTTTTTTTAGCTAAGTCGGGTGCAGGGGTTGCCACAGCAAATAGAACCACCTATAATTATGATAAATGAAAAGATATACTATATAAAAAATAAAATGAATATAATAAATAAAATGAATTTCCAAAATAAAGATAGTCATAGACAGCAGTACAAATCTTTGCCTCAGAACTTATTAATATTTTAGACCAGAATAGGTATATTGTTATAATGCTTTTTTTTTTTTGTGGCCCACACTATAATTTAGCCACCGTTTATTAGTTTTACACATATTAAATGTTTCTTTCTCTAATCCTAATGTAAAACGTGAAGAGTTCTCCTAAAGAGAGAAATTTTTCTCAGCTTCCTATATTTATGTTCAGGTTTTTCCACTTGAAAGGCAATAAAAAGAACTTATCTGTCACTATAAATGTAAAATTAGTGAGCCAACACACAAGAGTTAGAGAAAAATGCTAATTTTAAAAGAAAATATTAAATGGCCTTTAGAGGTTTTTGCATCTATATGACGTCTGTTAAATCAAGGACCAATAGAAAGCACAGAATGTGATGATGCAGTTGGTCTGATAACAAACCTCAAATTTGCAAACCAACCGTTGAAACATTTACCTAAAACAAAAAATAAAATAAGCCATGAACTAGGGTCAGAGTCATAACACAAGAGGGATGACTATAGTGAAGGCTAATCCTTCTGATGACCAGAATATCTGTATGAAGAACTGAATCGAAGTCTGAGAGTTACTTTCTTGTAAATCATGTGGATGGCCAGACCTCGAGAAGTGCCTTATGCCTATGGGAAAATGCAGGCTGTTGACTCATCTGCAAGAATAACTTGATTTATGAATGTTATTTTACACATGTACCTCTTATTATTACTGACCAAGTCATGACAATGCAATTGCCTGATTGCTCACAATCCAACTAAGCATCTGTAAGACCTGTACTGCAACAAGGTCCATACATGCAATCAAACCCTTATGTTCATATGAACAACCAAACTCGAATGATGAAGCCATTTGATTTAAATTCTTGCTTTCAGGTTATTTGAATGTTGAGAATGTAACTAGGAGTTTGGCATTCTTAACATGCTCTTACAATGACAAACAAACCATGACAGGAATGTGCAAAGAATGTACAGTAACTCTCACACAATCATTTAAATAACTTTTGTAAGATCATTCTCAAATGGTACTTTCTCAATTCCCCACTGAGAGATCACAAACTGTTTGAGTTATTTAAAAAATGACATTAAAATGGTTATACTAAAAGCATTACTAGCTGCATTTAGAAAAGTTACACTGTGGCTGCCCACTTACCTGCTCATCCAGTTCTACAGTACAAACCTCCTTCCATTATATTGACAGACGCTTTAAACCTGCCATGAAGAAAACAACAGACGGTGTCCAAACTGACAACAAAAATCACGATACAGGTAATTTCTTTAGAAAAAAAGTGAGATATCTTCATTTAGGAAAATGTCTATTAATTTGAAAGGCAAATTTATTGAAAATGAGGATTGTTTACCTTGTCCTCTTTCTCTTTATCTGTTGAAAAGAGGATAAAACGAGAAGCCATCGTGTTTCCAGCGTACTTGCAGATTACTGACTACAAAACACTTTTCCAGATGTTACAGAAGGAAGCTCTCCTGTCATAATCATGTAAGTTTACTCATAATTGATTTATCTGTTTATTTCAACACATAATGTTTACTTTATCCTCATGTCTACTTCATAATAGATACCAACAGTAACATTTAATTATAAGAAAACATAAATTATCATAACATAAAAAGTAGTTGCTGAATTTTAAATTTTTTAGATACTGTTTGTACTTTTACTACACAAATAACACATTGACTATGATTTTTAATATCCTAAATTATCAACAAGTGACAGGTTTCATCTGAATAAAACGTGAAATTATGTTTATTACCTTTACCTTCCTTTTCTATTTTAAATTACAAATTCATTTTCCGTGCTTTTTGCAATGACAAAACCAGATCCTTGTATTTTTTTACACATTAAATTATTACAGGATAATAATGTCAAGGATCTTAACGCCAGAGCATGGAATATAATTTTGTTAGCAAATAATCTATGCAATTCTCAAAATAAACAATCTATACTGCTTTAAAGTCTTACCCAGAGGTGAATTTTGTGTACACATCATATACACAAATAGCACATTTTAGTAGCGTAAGGTTATTTATCTGTTAGGAAGCCTGTAAGTAGTTTATTCGACAATGAATTATATGATTAGTTTAATTACACACACCGAAAACTCAAAATTGCCCCTATAGTGGATGATTTCTTTCAAAATTTCTACAGATCTCTAGGCCCATTAGTCCAACATGCCCACCGAGTTACATTCTGATCCGTCATTGTTAACAGTGTTTAATGGGTGCTCAAATTTAATGGGTCAATGGTGGCCATTTTTATAGAATTGTCATTCTACTCTGAGCAAATAAACTGCGCGCCAAATTTCAAGTTGATCCATTTAGTGGCTAAAACTGTAGTTGAAACACTATTGAGCATCAACAGACATTGATTGTTTTTGGGACCTTTTCTACTATTATAGTGCCGATCTCCACAAACTTTTGCATGCTTGTTTACATTCATGTCACATGTACTCACCAAATTCTGTGATGTTTTGAGTTTCCCTTATGGGTTTACAGGCATGTAGGTTCAAGTAGACGGCCCCTTTTGTAAATGAGCCTGTTACAGCTATCCAAAGTGGGAAGTTCAACTTTTTTTGATAATTATTGATAACTCAGCTCAGAGATTCTAACAATACGGGTTTTGTTGCGACTGAGCTAAAAACGAGAGACTAGTTTTCAAAAGTAGGTATTTTATTATTCTTTAATAAACAATTAAAGTGACAGCAGATGTCTTAGTGTCAACGTGTTCAGTATGAGCAGGCCAATCATATAAGTAAATTAAGTGTATTTGTGAAAATGTGTGTAAATGAAGCTTATTTACTGCATTTTGAAACCATTTAGCATGTTTTAAGACCAATATTATTACTATTATAGCGCCCCCTATTGCCCAATTTTTAAGGTGGAAAATTCAACATTTCTTAAAAATAATTATTGATCTCAGTCCAGCGATTCTAACAACAATTTTTTCATTGCAATTGATCCAAAAACCTGGGCCAAGTTTACAAAAGTAGGTTTTTTATTTAGTGATGATTTTATAATGAACGGTTTGAGTGACAGCAGTGGTTTTAGTGTCACAGTGTTCAGGATAAGCAGGCCTATTATATTATGTCTGCCTGTGCAAAAGCTTGTGTAATACACAACCAATTACACACTAAAAACATGTAAAACCGAACCTAGAGGGCGATTTTTTCAAAATTCGTACAGACCTCTAGGACCATGAGTTATACATGCCCATCAAATTTTGTTCTGATTGGGAATCGTCAACCTTGTTTAATGGGGGGTTAGTTTTTTTAATTGGCTAGTGGCAGCCATTTTCTGATGTGGACTCGGACAAAGACACTGCATACCAAATTTGATGTTAATCGAAAGAATTATGGTTATGGTTATGTGTATTTTCATATTTTTTAAGCAAATAGCGCCACCATGTGGCCAAAGTCAGCAATATTTAGTATGTCACCTCAACTTGACCTTATACATATTGCGTACCAAGTTCAGTAATATCTCATTCCGTTCTAAAGTTGTAGCTACAATTAGCATTTAGTTTCAATTAGCATGGAACATTTTTGCATACAGTTTCATGCAAGTATGAAAATTTTACTTTTTTTTTTGATAATTATTGATATTCAATGTCCAGAGCATATTTCTCAACTGGTTTGGTTCAGATTGGGTGAAAAATCTAGGACATGTTTGCAGACAAACCTCATTGTAGCGGACAAATGGTGTGTTGTAGAGAAAATCTGAGTGACTTGTGTGCCCTGAGTGTTCGGGCTGACTCAAGGATTCCAAATATGTAGATTTTTGAGTCTACGACAAATGGTTCATGAAACCTACTGGTGGATTTGGCTGATTTTTGTCGAGGATGTAGTGTACCAGAGTACTACCATCTGACCAAGTTTCAGCTTTCTAGGCCTTACGGTTTGGTCTGAATGATAATCATAAAATAATCATATTAAGATCTTAACAAATACAATAGGGTTTCAGCTCTTTGCGCTTGAACCCCTAATTACAACAGCTTAAACTGTCAACAAGTAAAATGAAAGTGTACAATATTTAGAACAGGTGACATTGATACCACTTTAAGCTTAATACTTGTATATTGCTAAATAAGTCCAAAAATATTATGTACTGTCCCCATGGACAAAGACAAACAAAACAAACATAGATGAATACATACATATACACACAGACAACAAATCTTTTATATATTTAATTATTGTCACAAACCATACAAAAAAACAGAAAAAGTATTTTTAAGGCAATATTTGATAAAAGAACTTGCAGTCTGGTAACACAGATAAAACATTCCACATGAATGCAGCATATATCACCATGGGCATATATTTTTTAAAGTTACACACAAGCCCTTAGAGGAAAAATGTACATTATCATACCAATACAAGCTCAATATGCTCTAAGCAGAATCCCTCCTTAAAAAGTCATAGGCCAAAGATGTAACAAATGTAACATTGCAAACAAAATAAATGCACACACACACACACACACACACACACACACACACACACACACACACACACACACACACACACACACACAGTACATGTATGTAATACAGTATATGTATATAAATCCTGAGCAAGTATTTGCACTTTAAAATTGATATATCTTTATACATATGTATATGTATGTACCTATATATATATATATATATATATAACACACAGTTGAAGTCAGAATTATAAGCCCCCCATTGAATTTTTCTATCTTTAAATATTTAATGATGTTCAAAGGTGCAGTAGGTAATTGTCTTCAGAAACACTTTTTGTTGTGCTGGTTAAAAGTCTCTTCACATTCCAATAGTACTGATTAAAGTAAATGATCTAAATGTATTTATATGTATGTTTATATTCTGGATAAGGCATACAACTAAAAAATGTTCATCCAATTAAATATTGTCGGACAGTCAAGTAACTCAATTAGGACAGATATCTCAAATTGTCTGTCAACAAATTTAAATCTGAATTTCTGTGCAGACTCTTTAAGCAGACAGATACATCACTCGCGCGCACACAAGTGATGCACACATCTACAGCTTCATCCTGCAAACTCTGCATCAACCTGAACTTCTTTCTGAAAGACCAATGTGGCCTTGTATGCATGAAAAGAAAGATTGTATCTGAAAGGGCTTCTGCCAAAAATGAAGAATTAAAACTTTTCTAAACCTTGAATCAATATCAGAATTACTTTTGCACGCTAGTGGGCAATGACATTATGCATTTCAAAACAACGAAAATCTGAAGGGTGACACAACGGCTGAAGCATTTCTTTTAGACAGGTATGTTTTAAAACTATTTTAGCCACACAAAGATTATGTACTGTAGACTGTGTTCTTGTTTATAAATGGATTTATATGTACAGAGGAGTTGTTCAGCCACTGAAAACGTCCAGCAAAAGTTTGGCTATTGTTCAAGTTAATGGAAAACCTTTTACAGCATCAATAATATAGTCGGTTAAATAGACCTGAGTATTGATTTAGTTGTTCAAGTGTAAAAAGAGCTGAAAACAAGCGACAGGATATTTCTGTTTTTAACAGATCTAACCTTTATTCTGATCTAACTTTTATTTAGTTTAATAACAAAACGTAAGTAAATGTGCCCTTCTGCCAAACCAGCTTTACTGAGGTGAGGTTTGATTTATATTCACACATTTGTTCATTTTTGACCAGTAACAGCCGGTGATACAGTTTTGGAGATATATAATTCCTGCACCCTCTGGTCTGTCAACAACTACGCTTGATAAAGTGCGTGTCTCCATAGAGTTTTCTAACTGGTAAATGACATGATCTAGTGTTATATATAATCAGTGCGAGTTCACGTGTCCATGACTTAGGGAGGCGTACATGCGGACGGCAGGGGAGGGTCATAAAATTTCTAAGCTATTACGCTAATGCTAGCATACTGGCAGATCTCCTACTGCACCTTTAACAGAGCAAGGAAATTTTGACAGTATGTTTGATAATATTTTTTTTCTTATTTATTTTATTTTGGCTAGAATAAAAGCAGTTTTTAATTTTTTAAAAGCCATTTTGAGGTCAAAATTATTAGCCACTTTAGGCTATTTTTTTCGATAGTCTACAGAACAAACCATCATTATTCAATAACTTGCCTAATTACCCTAACCAGCCTAGTTAATCTGATTAACCTAGTTAAGTTTTTAAATGTCACTTTAAGCTGTATAGAAGTGTCTTGAAAAATATATAGTAAAATATTATTTACAGTCATCATGGCAAAGATAAAATAAGTTAGAAATGAGTTATTAAAACAATTATTTAGAAGTGTGTTAAATAAATCTTCTCTTCGTTAAACAGAAATTAGAGAAAAAAAAAGGGGGCTAATAATTCAAGGGGGCTAATAATTTTGACTTCAACTGTATATCCATAAATAAAAGGGATGCTCTGATCGTTCGGTTGAAAATCGGTATTGTCACGTAATCAAATTTAATGACTCGATCAGTACTCATAAACCAATCGCAAGTGTTTGTTTA